AAGCGGAACTCTCCGGTGAATTGCTGCTGTGTCGCTCCTTCCTTTCACACATCACTTATCATCAGGGAAATGCAAGTTAAAACCACAATGAGATATCACTTCAAACCAGTTAGAATGGCCATTATCCAAAAGACAAGAATAAACAAATGCTGGCGAGGGTGCAGAAGAATAGGAATCCTCCTACATTGTTGGTGGGACTGCAAACTGGTGCAACCGCTGTGGAAAGCAGTATGGAAGTTCCTCAAAAAATTAAAAATAGAAATACTATTCAACCCAGTAATTCCACTGCTAGGAATTTACCCAAAATAAACAAGGTCCCTGATTCGAAAAGACATATGCACCCCTATGTTGACTGCAGCACTATTGACAATAGCCAAGATACGGAAGCAACCTACATGTATATCAGTAGGTGAATGGATGAAGAAGATGTGGTACATATATGCAAGTGGAATATTATTCAGCCATAAAAAGAAAAGAAACCCTGCCATTTGCAACAACATGGATAGATCTAGAGGGTAAATAAGCCACATGGAGAAAGACAACATGATTTCCCTTATTTGTGGAATACAAAAACAAAGCAAAACAGAAGGAACAAAACTGCATTAGACTCATGGACACTGTGAAGTGACTAGTGGTTACTAATGTGGGAGAGTGGGGGAAGGGGGATAAAAGGGCACAATAATGTGCAATGAAGTTAATTACGGGTACTGTTGAACCACTGATGTACATTTGAAACCAACATAAGACTGTATATTAATGATACTTTAATACAAAATAATAATGAAAAAAAACCATGCTGCCAGAATTTATAAAGCACATATGAAACCTTGAGTCTGAAGTTAAACATTAGTTATGAAATATACTTAGGTAGATATTTAAAGAATGTATTGCTAATTCCCAAATATCCTTGTTTGTACAAATTTTCTTTTAGAATTATCACATGAGATACAAAAAGCAGGCAGGAATGTAGAGTAAACCATCTCATAATTCAAGAAACTATGACCAGAAAAAAATTCTGCAAAGAAATATCAGCCTACTTCCTTAGAAATACTATGACACTTTTCTTTCCAAATCACTCATAAAATCATTTCTTAGGTAGAAAAGCAAGCAGTAACTTTCAGAGGAAATACTGTTGGTACCGTATTAGCATCTAAATGTTAGATAAGTTACAGGAATGTTAGCCACTGTCTACTTGGCAAATCATAAAACAGTTAAATAGATTACATACATCTAATAGCTTGAGCTCTGAAATGGGTGTTATGAAGTCAAGATAATATTCAGATACAGTATTTTCCCCCAAAATTACTTCTGGATAAAAGCCAACTAAATCCTTTAAAGATTCTTTGAAGCTAGTCATCAGAAGTATTCTTTCCACCACACACCTAGAATTCTTTTCCACTCCTGCAATAGCAAAGGCCTAAAAAGTTATGCAATACAAGAAGTGAAAGATCGTTCTTAAAGACACACGTACACCTCCCTCCCATAGGCCAAATATAAACACGTTCGTTCATGCGAATACTTAAGGATCAAACATCCAGGTAATGAGTTAAACAAAGCTTCTTTAAAGAGCAGACACAGGAATTCCTATTTCTCATTCATCTACACCACCCAACAATTTAAGTGAGAGCAGATGAACCAGCAGTTGTATAGAGCGTGTGTATATATTTTTCTTCTTATTTAACATTTGGTATATTTCAGCTTTGCCATAGACAAAGTGAGTAGAAATGAAACTAAACATGATATTTCTTTTCACTAGCTTCTTTTTAGCTAGACTTTTACCTGAGATGAAATTCTGGCTTTAGCACGTCCTTATTCTCTGTTTCCATAGGTAGTAGAGTTGATTTAACAGAGCAATTAACCAAACATAATGGTTAGTTGGCAGGATGATTTTGAGCCAGTACCTAAAACTCGTGGGCTAGGTCCCCAACACTTCTCGCCTTGTTTGGATCCAAGGACAATCGAGTATCATGAGCTACTAAAAATATGGTTCTGCAAAACCAAAACACAAAAAGAACTCTTCAAATATTTTCCAAAGCAAACATGGGTGAAGTTACACTATTCTACATTCAATATTAAATAGGTGGCATTGCCCGACAAAGGCCACTCTGCAGACAGTGAGCAAAGCCTACATAGACACACCACCCCCAGTTAGAGAAAACTACCTTAACACATGGAAGTTGAGTTTCCAGCGTACACACCATGCATAGAATTGAAACATCCCAGCAGACCCCAGACGTCCACAGAGGCCTGAACCAAGCAGCAAACAGCTTCTACCGGCCACCGTGAAATCCCAGCCGTGCAACTTGGATGCTTTCAATTAATAACAGTTAAACCAGCTCTTTTTCCCTTGCTTGGTCATAAAATCTTGCCCCTGACATGAGTCAGTAATGACTCATAAGCACTTCCTACAAGAAGCACCTGCTTTTAGGCCCATTCCTTTCCGCAGAAGTGCTGAGATCAGGGAGTTTTCGCTTCATGCCTGCTAACACTTGAATACAATTCTTGGCCCGCTCATCCTGGGGAGTCCTGTGCAGAGCTGTAGTCTGTCTGCCGTCGGGTAGCGGTCTGCTGCCGGCCAGTGAGGAGGTGAATCTACAAAAGGGCTCTGGGAATAGACAGCTGGGGAGGAAAGGCCATTTTTCTGTTTCCACCATTGGCCAGTGTGGAGATGCTTCCCCTTCACACTTCGCAGCTATGCGTCCTCAGCTTTGCATTTACAAACAAAAGGGAGCCGACCTTTCCCCTTCTTTGCTCCATCACTGACCTTAGAACAAAATCTTTCACAAATTTTTAAAAACTGAGATGGAGAAAAAAATGCAATAATGTTTACACGCTTTCTTTCTTAATTTCAAGCTAAGGAAAAGAAAAGTATAGTGGCCAGTTCTGTATCAGATCTAAATAAGTCCACTCATTTAGATTTTTTTCTCAGCAAGTTTCACTGAAAACTTCCTACCCATGTGAGCCATATAGAGAAACGGGAAATGTTTAAGAAGTGATATAATAGGGAAGAAAGGGAGAGAGATTTTTAAATTCTGACAAATAGTCGCAAGTAGCCATTTCTAAAAACTTGGTCTGTGGCCAACCTGAACTCACCTTTGGTGTATTCACCCTCTGTAAGTCAGTCTTCTGAGCCCAGACTGGCTCCTTGTTGACCCAAATTCAGCAGCTGTAAAATAAAGCAAAAATGAGAGAGGCCCTGCTGGAATGGTGTTACAGAAGCGCGGAGCGTCACTTACAAACACCATCAATAATGAAGGACTCATGAATAATACATTGGCAAGAAAAGACCCTCCTTCCTGCCACTTCATGGTTTCCTATCAATTTATATCGAGAGTACCAGGCACAAACAGTAGGGGTTTATTGAATAAATGTACACATATTCACAGAGGGTTTTGCAATTCGTTATTTCCCCTGACAAACTTTATGTTATGGAATATTTTCTGCATATTTCAAAAATACTTTAAAATAAAATTTGTTAAGATCATCTTTTATCATTAAAAGACATTGAATCCCTCCTGCCCTTTTAAACACAATTAACCTCAGACCGTATACTAATGGCAGTGTCAGAGGTAAACAGAGAATCATGTTTATGCACCGAGATGAAGACAGCACTTGACCTGAGGGATTATAACAAAACAGGAGCTGAGAAGTAAGGGGAGAAGGGTATATACTTTAAAACCAGACCTTGGAATACTATTTAACAAATATTTTACTGTATTCTTGGCCGTATGTTCTACAGAGAGATGCATGATGGTGACATAGATCCTGCCAGTTAGGGACAAGTAGAAATGGCTGTAGTGTCAATTTATTTTTAAGTGTTTTAGATAAATATTTATGAGATAGATTTCCTTTTGGAGACATGTATCGCATGAAGGACTCCAAGCTGACATTCTTCATTTTAAACAGCACGTCAGGCAGAATAAAACTAAACCAGCATGGTTCCCACTCCGCAGGCTCAATGGAATTGCGATCACAATGCTCAACTAGGGAATGTGAGCACAGTTTGGGGGTGGCATTCCTTTCTTTGGATTTAAAATAAGTTCTTCCATGTGAAAATCATCTTAAAAGAAGGTCCTGTGAAATGGACACTCTGGACAGAGATACAAAGACCTAAAGTTGCAACTGTTCCCAAGTAATTTCAGTATCTAAGTAGGATCTTTCAGAGGCAAGGAAGAGACCCAAGATTTAAATAAAATAAGATTTAAAGCCTCCTCCCTCTTACTGGTAACTAAGGGCATGAACGGATAGCGCTGTGGAGTACCCACAGCACGTCACACACCTCGCTGGGTGCTTTACATGTTACCTTCCATCCTTACAACAGGTCTTCTAGGGAGCAGTCTTTAAAACGAGAAGAGTTCAGTAGTTGCTCAGAGCCGTACACCTGGCAGTTGGGAGGGATGGGCTCCGAACGCAGGTCTGACTGAATTCCAACGCTGTTCTCCTCTCACTATGCCGTGAGGCATTCTAGAACCTCCCACAGCCAATGGGCGAATGGAGTGGAGCCTTGCCAGATGTTCAGGGAACCTGCTGAGCCCGCTGACTTCCTGCCTCTTGTCACCCTGGTGAATCCAGCCGCTTCTCAGGTCAGGGTTTGGCAGGATTTCTGGGGCGGAGGAGGGACCATGCTAATCAGAGAACACTGGGGGCTGTTCTGTGGGGCCCCAGACACCTGTGAGTGGCATCCTTGCAGGGATGCCAGGTAATAAATAAGACACCCAGTTAAGTTTGAATTTCAGATAAACAATGAATACTACTTTAGTGTAAGAGTGTCCTTGAGATTGCAGATGTTGCATGGACAGCTTATTAGTGAAATCTGGCCACCCTGCTTCTGGGCCCTACTTCAGAATCTTATATTAGAGTCAGAGTGTGTGTACATAGGAGTGACTTGTGACTCCACATACGGTTCTCGGCTTGGAGTGAAGATTTCCTGGCTATTGGCCGGAATTGCCTGCACATTGCTCCCCCTCCCCCACTCCACCCGAGCTGCTAAATGGTTTCTCACAGGATGCCACCCCACTTGGTCTGATGGTCTCCTAGTGCCCCAGACATGAATCTTGTGTCCACAACTCAGGTGTGCTCTCAGTTATTATCAATTCCTCTAAAGATTTAGGTTTTTTGGAAAACATTGAAAGGTCATTTCCTTTTCATGCTGGCTGACTCCTCCCCTGAGGCAATGAATACAAAAATGTCCAGCAGTTTGAAAGAAGAGAATAGAGCAAAGTATCCCAAGCAACTAACTTTTAAACATCCTCCAGATAAAAAAAAAAAAATTAGGTCTTGACTTGGTTAGGTACAAACTTTTCCTTTCCACAGTCGTTCATCCACGAATCTGTATCAGCATCAGAAGCAAAACATTTAAAACATGGATTGTGAGGCCCCACCCCAGACCTAAGAATCAACAGGACTGAATTCAGTATTTCAGCAAACTCCACCTATTTTTCTTCCGTACTCAGTCGCACCCATCCTCTGACCACACTGGGAATGACTCCCTTTTCTTTCCCACATTTTCTGCTTTCTCTCCCTTTCTCTAACTAAAGCCTCCTTGCATAGAGTGGAAATTGAGCGTGGAGTTCTGTGTCCATCTTCCAAGGGGAGGGTAACGTGGAGGCCAAGAGGGTGTTCATGTGCCTCGTTTCCTCTTATCGCTTATCCCGCTCGCCTCACCCTTTGCTGTCCTTTCCGTGTTCCAAGAAGATAACCTGAGTCTAAATGACCAAAATGGGCCATGCTGATAATGGATCTCCATCCTGTGTCACATGCAAAACTCTTTCCCAGAGGCTGAAACGCAGCTTGATTCTCGTGGAGAAGCAACATATCTAAGCATCCCAGTATTCCAAGGCTTGGCGACCCTTCCAGAGGAAAAGCCGAAGAACTATTAAGATACATTCCCCAGGTAGATAAATTACAAATAAGATTTTTAAATTGCTTGCACTGATTTGTTTAAATTATTGTTAAACACCATCTTAATGTATTTGGAGAGAACCGTTCACCATTTTTTTTGAAAAGGTGAATTTCGTTAGGTAGGATGTGTTGGGCTGGCTGATCACCGGCCTGTTTTATTCCAAAATAAGGGGAGGCGTGCCGAGCTAACCTGGCGCCCCTAAAGGCTTACATCCTGGAGAGGGGTGGGAGACACCCTCCCTGAACACCACTCACAAGTAGTGTTGGGAACACTCACCCCCGAAGATGGTCGTTGGTCTTTGTAAAGGTCAGTTCTGTTTACTGACTTGACTCAGCACAGAGTCCCGTATTATTGAGGCAGAGAAGCGGGTGCAGCCTAGGCAGCTTCCCAGAATTCCTCGCGTTCAGGAGAGCGCGTTCGCCGGGCTACTCGCTCCACGGTCACATGACTGAGAATACGTCTCCTCCTTTGAGTTGGTGAAGCCGCAGTTCTCTCTTCAAAGCTGATGGGTCAGGAAATACGAGAGATGCCAAGTGCCGAGCGCGCTGCTAGAGCCGTAAGTAAGGGACACGAGTTTTCCGCGCAGGATGTAATTTTTTCCTGAAAGGTTCACATAGGATAGAATTAAGGATGAAAGAAATCAGACGTCACAGGTTGAAAGGAACTACAAAATTCTGCTTGACCAGTCCCAGGACTAATGGGCGAGGTAGTTCTTCAACTTGTCCTAGAAGTGCCATTCCAGCCGGGCTTTAGCATCTCGGGAAATGGAGGTCCACGCTGCCTGAGGGGCAGAGAGGGCCCGGCTGGTGGCAGCTCCTCTCCCAGTGGGAGTTGGGGGGGTAGGGCCCCCTGGGGAGGGCTTGCCTCTGGCCGCTCGCTGCCCCTCCGGGAGCCTGGGCGCTCCTGATTCTTCCGGAGGCTCCAGCAGCAAGTCTCTGCAGCAAGCGCTCTCTTGGCTCAAGAGGGGGTTGTCCCTCCATCCCTGTGTTGCCTTATGTATTTTTACTTTAGACGGACCTTGCTCTTTGCGGTGGTTTGTCCAGTTGGCAGATCATTTTTTACATTCTGTTATTAATTCACTGGTTTCATTAGTTTTTATTGAGTTACTGTTGTGTTTTATTATAGAAAACCTACGCCCAGAAAGCTTAGTTTATATTCTCAAAGTCACAACTTTGCGGCTGTATGATAGAATGCTATCTGCTCACTTAAATCCCACTGTTTTGACCCTCTCTGGGGTGTGTTTTTATTTGTTTTCATTGAGTAATTTTTACAATTCTTATTAGCCTTGTAATGTTTCTCTCTCTTTAGTGGCCACAAAGGATTGACAGCACCAGGATGACAGGGGTGAAGAGAGGCCTAACATGCCTCCCGCCACTGGCAGGCTCACCCTGGCATCTCATTCACGCCATTCGGTAAAGTATGTAGCATTGCCCCCTTTTATAGATAAGGAAATTGAGGCTTAGAGAGCTTAAATAACTTGCCTAAGTCCATTTGACTAAGTGTGAAGTATTAGAACCGGGTTTTGGACTCAGTTCTTTCTGCCTTCAGAGCCATTAAGTTATATTGCCTCCCATGCCTCAAGCAGAATAAATTTGGTGTCTAAATGGACACTTCACTCCAATTAGCTCTGCCCAGACTTTTCATGCACTTCAAGGAGAAGCCTTTATATTGGCCATTAGGTTATTGATCCTGAGTTTAATCAGCCAGAAGACAGTGACAATCCCCTGTAAGAGTTTCTCTCTCAAGTAACTCATGATGTCCCCGTGCAGTGTCACCTAGCTCCAGAGATGACTGAGGGGAATTACCCGATCAAAGGGGTTACTTTGTTTTCAACAGTGACGGAAGAGATGGCTGGTGCTCCTATGGTCTCACCTCCTGGGACAGCTCTGATTGCTTGAAAATGTGGGTTGTGAAAGGCAAGTTTTGTTTTTTCCCTGAGAGTTTCCATTCATTGATCTGTACACTGAGAGCCACTTCTCATTCCAGCTCCTCTTTTATGGCAATGCTTCCTACTATCTGCAGTTCAGACCATATCATCTTCTGGGTTACGTGAGTCTTAAAACTGATCTCAGCGTTTGGAGTCCGATCCCCTTCTGTTCCCCAGGTGACCTCCTAGTAGACTTTAGGCCTTGGCTCAAATGTAAATTCCGTAGAGAGAGCCTTTGGTAATCCCTCAGACCAGTGTGGGTTCCTCTTCTATTCATGACCATAATGCACTGTACTTTCCCTTTGTACCACCTGTAAGTGCCATGACTGAGTCGTTGTGTGTTTGTCTCTGTGCTGCTGGTTTGTTCCCCGCCTCACTGCCGGAGCTGCCCTGGGGCCAGTGTGAGCGGGGACCCAGCCCGCCTGCCCTGGGGCCAGTGTGAGCGGGACCCAGCCCGCCTGCCCTGGGGCCAGTGTGAGCGGGGACCCAGCCCGCCTGCCCTGGGGCCAGTGTGAGCGGGACCCAGCCCGCCTGCCCTGGGGCCAGTGTGAGCGGGGACCCAGCCCGCCTGCCCTGGGGCCAGTGTGAGCGGGACCCAGCCCGCCTGCCCTGGGGCCAGTGTGAGCGGGGACCCAGCCCGCCTGCCCTGGGGCCAGTGTGAGCGGGGACCCAGCCCGCCTGCCCTGGGGCCAGTGTGAGCGGGACCCAGCCCGCCTGCCCTGGGGCCAGTGTGAGCGGGGACCCAGCCCGCCTGCCGTCGCCTCCTGCAGGCCCAGGACACAGCAGCTCTCGGAAGTTACCTGTCGGATGGAATATATGCAGATGTACGTGATTCCTCCTTCTGTTCCAGGAACACATACAGGACCTCACGTCACATGTAGCTGTCGTGTCCTCTGAAGCTCCTCTTGGCTAAGAGAATCTCTCTAACTTGTTTTACTTTGACGGTTTCGAGAAGTATGGTAAATAAGGTACGTTACAGGTGCCCCTCCACAGGAATTCACCTGTTTTTCTCATGACTAGACTGGGGCTACGGGCTTCTGGGAGGAAGCCCACAGATGCTGTTTTCATCACATGGAGCCCGGGGTACAGACGGTCAACATCGCCCATCACCGCTGATGTTCACCTGGTCACCTGGCTGCGGTGCTGGAGGTGTTTGTCAGGTTTCTGCACTGTGAAATGACTCCTTTTCTCCTTTTCCTTCCTCTTTAGAAAGAGGTCACTGTGCAGTTCACACCTACGGAGTGGGGAGTTCTGCACCCCCCTTATTCTTACTTTTTGATTTGAGTAAGTTTATTTATTTCAAGTTTTGGGTTTTGTTGAAGAATGATACAACCTCTCTCTTTACAGAATCTGTTACCAGGGATGCTCCCACGTGTAGGTGAGAACTGGGTCTCATCGCCCCAGAGACTGGGGATCATCACCTGAAGGACGTGCAGACAGCAGGGCGTCAGGCTGACCAGGAGCTCGGAGGAAGACCCCTGCCCCCAGAGTCCTCTTCTCCGCCGGACACCCAGAAGCTAAGCGGTAAGGATGGCTTTCAGCCACTGCTCAGGTCTTCTGAACGTGATTTAGAGACCAGCAGTCTGCCTAAAAGTCTTCATGGATTCGAAGCTCAGCTCCGTCTCCTGGCCTGTACGATCCTGACAAGCCGTAAGCTCTCGAACACTTGAGTCTTCTCCTTTGCAAACTGAAGCTAATGGCAGCACCTACCTCAAAGGGTTAAATGCTTGGGGAGACAACGTGAGGGAGTCCTTTACACTTAATATCTCAACAATGACACGATGGGGGTATTTGGCGGTACTGAATACCTGTCTTTCCTGCCCACAGACCACGTGACCCTCTGTGTCAACAGCTGGCCTGCCTTCGTGGGTGGGTGGTCCTGTCTTGAACAACAGCTTAGCTTTCAGACGTCACTGAAGTAATAAGTAATCTTGAGGGCTGTGTTTTGTTGAATGAGAAAATAGTTTTCTTAATGCCTGTTGCCTTCTTCTATGTATTCCCAGCAAGGCGTGGAGGTCTGAGCGTTCCGTGGTGAGCCAGAGCATGGAGGGCGCGGCTCGGTGGTACAGAGCGGTTCCTGTGCGGCAGGAGGGAAGGAGGAGGCGTGAGGACAGGGGACGGGGGTAGAGGCCGGTCCAGGGGCGGGACGCTCGCGCTCCGCCGGAGGAGGCCCGGGCCCCAGCTCTGCGTCTGGAGCAAGGCGTTAGGAAAACCACGGGGGCTGAGATAGTTCGAGAGGGACTGTGCGGCCGCCCGGGCCGAGGCTCTGCTGTCTCTTGCTGGTGTCCCCGCAGCCCCGCGGGCGGGACAGCGGGAGCAGGCGGATGGCCCCAGAGAGCACCCCGCTCGTCCCACGGCGTGGCCGGGTCCCTGCGAGGCCCCGTGAATGGTGCAGGGGAGAGGCCAGAACTGCGGCCCGGGGGCTGCCCACGCTGGCGGGGCGTGGAGGGAAGTGTCACGGCAGGGGCTGCGGGGGGCAGGGGGGCTGGGCTGCGGGGGGCTGCGGGGGGCAGCGCAGATCCGCCGGAAGCCGGGCCTCCCCTGGGCCAGTGCGGCCGGCCGGGGAGCGCGCTCGGCAGAGGGGGGTCGCCAGGTTCTCTGGGAGCAACTGCCTGCAAAGTTTCTCGGAGGGACAGACCGTTACTGACCTCAGCGGTGGACGAAGCCAGGACAGACACGTTTGCGCCCAAAACTTGGCTGAGGGAAGTGGCTTGTCAACCAGAGGTCAGCAGGGGGCAGCAGAGCCCAGCAGACCGCAGGCGCCCACCCTGGGCAGGCCCACCCCTCCCCCATCCCCAGGTCTTCCAGACCTGTCCTGGGGGGGCGAGGGGGTGGGGGGAGCAGAGCCCCAAGGCTGTTAGAGTTGACTGAGTATTTAACCTGAAAAAGTCTAATTTTAAACAGGAAGAAACTGTCCAGAATCCTTTTTTACATATCTACATCATTTTTTGTTAGCTTACTTTTCATCTTAAAATGTTTTAGTTTTTAAACTTTTATAAATCCCTTTAAATTTCTTTTTCCAGTTATCTTATTTTGGATTTAAAGTTTCATTTTCAAGAGCTTTGAATCCCTTTTGCTTATTTCCAAACATTGGGATATATCTCACATTTTAATAAAATAATCCTGTCAGTATTTTTAGCAAATAAAAATCCTATATTCCTAAACTTCATTTGTTGGTGGTTTTATGTCTAAAGCTTATTATTCACATTGCCTTCCTTAATAAATGAAGATGTGTTTGAACATCCTAAGATTCATTTCCTATTTTGAGCAAAACAATCAAATATTTATATTCATGAGCTTGTGCCTCTAATGAAACAAATCTGCAAAGAATCAAGTGTGAAGATGTAACTACAAACAGAAGCATTATTGTTTCTGATCATTGGCCAGTACCAGGAATAGTGGTGCAGTTTATCAGCGTAACATACATTTAGATAATCCCAGTATTATCACATTTTTATTAGTATCTTTTTAGTCCATGGAACTGTGGCTTTTGTTTTGACCCTGTTTATAAATAAGCGTTAGATTCTTATAGTCACTCCTCGGTTTCAGTTAGCTTTGCTGCGGCTCATGCTCAACCATGTAACTCCTAACTAGTTACGGGGGTTTTAAAATTGCTACCTTTGGACAACACAGGTTTGAACTGCATAGGTCCACTAACACACAGATTTTTTTTCAATCAATGTATTTAAAATATTTTTGGAGATTTGCAACAATTTGAAAAATCATTTTCTCTTCCCTACTTCATTGTAAGAATATAGTATATAATACATGTAACATATAAACTGTTATGTTACTGTTAAGGCCTCTGGTCAACAGTAGGTCATTAGTGGTTAAGGTTTGGGGGAATCAAAAAGTATATGTGGATTTTCAGCTGCATGAGGGTTGGTGCTCTTTAATCCCATGTTGTTCAGGGGTTAACTGTACGTCTATAAATTCTTGAATATTCCTTTTTTCAAAATGAAAGGCCTAATTCCCTCCCCTTCAGTAGGGGCTGGACTAGAGACTCACTTGTAATGACTAGAATGTGGTAGCGGTGACCACATTCAAAGGGTGATTTCTGAAACTGGTTCATAAAAAGCATCGTGACTCGTTTGCTCTCTAGGACCGAGTGCTTGGGGAAGCCAACCGCCCTGCCGTGAGGACCGAGCCACATGGAGAGGTCTGCACGGTGAGGAGCTACCAGCTTGCTGGCTGTGTGAGTGGACCACCCCACAGGAGGGTCCGCCCAGCTCCTGTGAAGCCTTCAGAGGCCTGCAGCCCTGGCTGACACGGGCAGCAACCCCATGAGCAACTGCAGCCAGACCTACCTAGAACTGCCTGCTCCTGAATTCCGGACCCACAGCAATTGTATAACAAATGTTTACTGTTTTAAGCTGCAGAGCTTAAGGGTAATTCACTTTGCTGCGGTGGATGACGGATACACTAGCTGTCTCACGTGTCTATTCCTGTACATATGAAACTGTGGGTAAACTGGCATTCTCACATCACTAGGACAGCCCTGCACAAGTGGCACTGCGGTGAGGTCTTCTCTCCTTGCTCTCGGCGAATCGCTCCATGGGCAGCTAGGGCCGAGTATTCTGACTCTAGTGGATTGGCTTATTTGTGATTGCCCTACACTAAACAAGCGTGATGCAAATTCAATAAGGATGACTGACGACACGATGGTGTGATTTTTGGCTCAGATCTATTAAGACTTGTAGTCAAAGAAAAACACGTTAGCTCTGCTGTGATATTCCCAAGAATCCATGCAAGCAGTAACAGGTGAGAACATCTCTGTGGGTGGTCCAGGCAGAACGCTGAGGAAATCAGGGCCCAACATAACTGTAAAACACAATGTTTTCCAGCTTTAAAATCTAGTTAAAAGTGTTTTAGGGACTGCGACAGGGTCACGTTGGTTCCCTCCTCGAAAACCAAACTGGACCCTTTTATCCCCTCTTCAAGTTGATCTTCCTCCAGAGATTCCAGTTTCAAAACTTACCTTTTTCTTTGAAAAACATTCATTGTTCTATTATCAGCCTCTTGCTGTCTTCATGCATTGGGTTGCATAAGGATTCGGCAGTCCCTTTCTCAGTGATAACGCGGCCCCGAGACCTCAGCTCCAAGATGGTGGCGGCCGCCAGCCGGGCTCGGGTCCCAGGGAAGGGACACCCGAGCGCCTTCCTGAGCTACAGCCTTCCAAGAATTACATGCAACGCCATGGGAACCCACGAGCGTGTGGGGGGGAGGGAGGATCACTGCTTTTCCAAGAGTACACAGAGGTACGTATGTGTCCCCAAATGTCTGAAAGATAGAGACTTAAATTTTATTTTAACTTAAATTACTCACTGTACCCTGGAGAACAAAGACCGTTAAGAGGCACTCAAATTAATGATAACCTTTCCTCTCACTTCAGGGGATTAGAAACAAATGAAAAGCAGGTTAAGTTTCAGATTTTTTATTTTGTTCTCACTTCTGTCAGCCCCAGTTCACAACGTAATAAAGGGCAGAGCTCACCTCTTAGCATCTGCATGGAGTCCTCTCCATTCCAGGGTCCCCACCGGCAGGATGCCCTGGGCCCCACAGGTATCTGGTGGGATGCTGTTGGGCGCTAGGGAAGACTGCCTTTCCCTCAGGTTAGGAGGAAATCTGAGGAGGAAATTTACTGTATTTTACAGCTTGCCTTTTTGCTGTTTTTCTAAGTTAGGAGGTAGGCATGGCATTACAGAAAGACACGTGTACTAGCATTACTGTACCAAGTTTAAGGCTGAATTCAGAAACCTCAAATGATTGTGTACCAGTAGCATCCTTTTCTATTTTTAACTCTTGGTCCAAAAAAAACAAGGAGTCTTATTCAATAACACCTTCTTTCAAGGCTTTTTACTTAAATGACCAGGAAGCTTTACCTTTTAAAAAAATAGAGATTAATCATGTCATTAGTCTTTTTTTCTTACATAGTTCTCAGGCTCAAATATAATTTTCAAAATAAGCATCGGCTAAAGCAAGAGGATTTCATAGAAGACCATATCTTGCCCTTACCTAACCTTAAAGGTACTTTTATGAAGTTATTCTTCCCATAAGTTGGTGCCCTAGAAACAAAGTTAAATTTTTGCAGTGATAACATGCGTGTCCAAATAACTATAAACAAGTGTGGTAACACTAGTAATACTGTACTTATGAATTAACTGTCAAGCACGTGCCTGTATTTGACTACCCAGTGCGTCCCAGAACCGGTCCGCTCTTCCGGCCTAAGGCCCACACCACCCAGGGCTGAATGCCACGGGTCTCAGGCTAGTGAAGGGAAGGATTATTTACTCATCTGGGCACGAACTCTTTGCGGTTGCCATTTATTTAAATATTAAATAGCTGTTCTCCCCAATCCCATTTTATAAAATTCAAACGATTTGGGGTCCCCCTACTTTCTCCTGAAAGTCTACCTAAGACACTCTTTGTCCTGAGTGGCTAGATTTAATTACCTCTTGAGGCTTCTGATTTTTTCTGAGAAAACTCTGTGATGTGAGATTCTCTCGATGGTTCCTAGGTAAACCTTTCATCCTAAACTCCCTTCAGCCACGATTTCACGTGTGGCGGGGCAGTGCCACCTGCTCTCGGTTTGTCTGAGCACCGTTAACACGTGTAACATGCCGTGTCTTCTGTGCTGACACCCTGCCCCGCACCAGCGGTGGTCAGGCTGGACCTTGGGACTCACCTCCGCCCTTCTGCTCCCGCCCCTCCGTGACCCGTCGCCAGACACAAGACGGACAGGGGCGGTGATGGACGCGTGCGCCGAACCACAGCTCTGCCACCCTCCCCCTCACTAACCTCTCCATCTGTTTTCCATTCATCGAACACTTAGGAGCAACAGCCCCTATGGCGGGATGATCGATATCCAATGCTGGGAACCCTGGCTGGTACATAGGAATCCCTCCGTGAACGCTGGCTGGGATACTAGTGTTTAAGCGACAGGGACAGGCACACACACAAATATGGCAGAATGGCAGAGTTAGTGAAGACAAACGAATGATGTTTTAAAATCTGAATTAGTTTGTATTCTAAAACACAAAATCTGTACCAATTAAATACAATAAGTTGAAAGGGGATATAAATTACAGTTTTTCTTTTTTTAAACAGACAATAGTAAAATACCACAGTCAGCTCACTATACACAAAAATCAGGAACAGCAGCTTCTCATTAAAGTCTCCAATATCTTACTCATTTACTGATGCTAAGAACTTAAAGAAAAAAAGGTACAGCGGGCTGTACAGTCTCTCTCTCAACACATTTATTGCTGTACATCCAGACCAATTAATTGTACAGGCATCTACAGAATAGGTACATAAAGTAGTTTTGTAAGAGTTTCCACACACATAATCCTTCAGTATCTCCATCAGTAGGAGAATTTCACAAATGCAGACACAGACAGCAGGGTCATTTGTATTCAATCGTCTCCTGCAAACACAGTGAGGTGGGCACCTGTGAACTTTG